CATGAACCACTTTCGATATGGCCATCAACAAAAGTCCAATAATCGTGCCATCATCACAATTACAAAAGATGTTTTTATTGAGTAGGTTGAAATAAGAAGCAAAATGTAGAACGGGAAGGGAAAGGAATATACAATGGAATCATCGTATTCTCAAAATTATATGAGTATTGTTGTTGTTGTTGCCACTCTGTGGGAGTAATAGGTTGTGGTGGTGAATGAGAGAGCAAGATGGAGAGCTTGGAGAGAAGAGGCAAACAAACGGAACAGAATTCTTATCATCATCGCTACTACTACCAGCTTCAACTCCAAGCCATCATCACAATAATGATGATGAAATTAGGATTATTGATGACCGATAATAATATTGTTGATAGGAATATGGATGAGCTTGACAAAGAATCCAATGAATCCCATAATCAAAAATCCAACAGCTGTAGCAAACGCAATCTTGGAGAATTCTTTGGAATCAGGCTTCTTGCACCGAGTCACAAATCGCTTCGATGCACGATAGAATTCGGTGGATTGTTGAGCAACGTCGTCGATGAGATCCATTTTTTTTGTGCTTACAAAATTAAAATCTTTGGCATTTTCATCATGACGTGTTGTTGGTGTGCTTGACGTGGAAAAAAAAGTTCAATTATTGAAACATTTAGCATGATGATCATCGAAGTCATTTATTTGCAAATACTTCAATAGTTCGTGAGAACTGAGGTACGTATAGTTAAGTTTCAGCTTGGAAGAGATGATAGTTTATAAACAGAAAGATTGACATATTTGCATCACTACTGTATCTCAGACCAAATTATTAGATCTTGTATTGTACATTGGTTGGATAAGGTGGTTGCTGTGTTAAGGTTGATGTTGAGGTGGCATTTAGAGTGGTGAAGGACGATGATGGTGGAGTGGCAAGGTTTGGGTTGTAATTTTCTGAGAGGGAACCTCTTGGTAATTCCTCATTCGTCATGGGAGGAACGTATTCAGGAACGACAAGTCTTGGATTTGGAACAATGTTTTTCATCTTCATGAAACTTGTCACTTGTTGAGGAATTTCAGCCAAAACCTCTTTCGCAAGATAGGTATAGGGTTGATTTCTGAATTGGTTAAATGGAACAAATTGTACAATGTCTCTACTTGCATATCTTCCAGTACGAGTAGATCTGAGTCTTCCATCATCTCCATCGAGAGTGACCATGGATTCGAAATTGGCATTGCCCACACCAACAATAATGATAGAAAGTGGTAAATCGCTTGCTTTAACAATTTCATCAATAGTCGCGTCCATGTCGTTGATGGCTCCGTCTGTGATAATCAACAAGATATAATATTCTTGATTTTGTTGTGAAATTGGCTGTGAGGCGTAACGGCATGCTGTTTGAATCACATTAGCAAATAACGTTGGTCCACTTAGAGAAACATTATTTAGAGCTTGTCTGTATGCTTGCAAAATTCCAGGAACGCCCAAACACTCTGGTTGTTGAGGATTTCCATTCAATGCAAAACAATGTGACGTTGTACCATTAATATATCCACCATACCCAAAACAAGGGAACCTCTTGTCATAGTCATAATCGCTGAGAATTTGTCCCACCGCATAAATGGCAGACTCATATTGATTCATTTGTCCTGGCTTGTTGTAGTGGAGGGAGTTTGGATCTGTGACATTACCATTTGAGGCAGTAACTATATTATCATGAATAGTGCGGAAGATGACGCGTTGCATTATTAAGAGTTAATATATTTCCTTAATATATGCGAGTATTTTGGTACTTACAATCAATGGCTACCAATAAATTCATTTTGAGACCTCCTGCAATGAATTCCAAGAAGGAATAATTTCTTACGAGTTTTGCAGATTTCACAACTAAATCTCCGGTGTGTTCTTTGCCTTTTTCTTGTTCTTGTTTACCAATTTTAGAGAAAGAGTGCCTTTCATGATGGAGTCTAGATTTGTTTCACAGTCTCCAATGAAATCTGGTTGAGAGAATTTATCATAATCATAGACGCTAATTTTCAGAGGTCTCATAACGTCACCATTGCACAACTTTGCTAATGGGATTCTGAAAGGTTTCCACAGTGGGTTGAGTGTGTTCATGATGGTTTCCGATTGAAAAACATTAAGATATTGACCACTGTGCAGCTTTTCAATGATGAAATATGGATCCGACTGTTAGTGTGGTGATAATGAACGAAGAACAACATTATGATGTGTCATCTAAATGTCACCACAAGTCCATGAGTCCAAGATCACTTACCTTTCCGAAAAGGTCCATCTGTTGGAGAAACATGAAAAAGTTTTCAATGAATTATTGTGATGACACATGTGTGAATATTAAACACTCATTCTAAAATGCACATACCTTTGCCAAAGAAACTCCAGCCAATTGAATTTCGACATCATCAGTCACATTTGAATTAATTTCTCTGCACTGACAATAATTGTTCCTCGGGATGTCTTGGAATTGCCAACCAATAAATGTTTGATTAATTTTTGACCTCTGCTTCCACAAATTTCACCCAATGTGGTGGTCATTTCTCCAATAAAATCATCATCATTGAGTGTCGTCGTAGAATTATCAATGTCATAGCAAGCAAATTTCAAAGGTTGAGTTTCTTCAAAGAAATAATCCAAAACAAAAGATTTCACAAAGTTTGGATTTAAATTATCCTTCACCGTTTCGGTCTCTCCCAATAATCTCCAAGTCTGTGTAGCAATGACGTGTACGATTGAAATTAGTGTTTAAAGTGTTTTTCAATTCAAACAAAAGATAGGTCGTGATCATCACGCAACAATTTCAGCAGGATGGCGAGAAATATTTCATGTGGTTATAATGCAACTGTTCAATCACAACTAATATACTTACAAACTGTGGATTATTTTGAGGAAATCCAATATATACCAATACTCTCGGATCAGACTTGCTCAAAACATCCATCTAGCATTCATAGCGGAAAGTTCAAATAGTGTTGATGATTATCATCCCATCGGAATATTCCCTTACTTACATTCCTCAAATTACGACACGATATGTGCAACTCTACTTTGGATGAGCATTGCGGAGGAGGTGGACCGTTCATCATCATCATCATCGTGGATGGTTGCGCGAGTTGTGAGTTCATAGGGTAAGGCGTGGTTTGCATTTTTTTGTTTTCGAGGTTACGTTGGGATTAGAAGACTTCGAAATTGTTCGAATTAATTTCATCAACACGAAGGGCGATCTCTTCTTCCTAGTTGGAAATATTTTGGAGAATGTTTTAAAGAAAACCCTCGTCGTGATGAAGGGTTCAACATATGAGTTGAAAATACATTGGTAATGAATTCTTTTATTAAAAGCAAAAGATCATTAATATGGCCCGTATTTGCTAAAGTTCATTGAATTCATGATGATGAAAGTCTTCTTTTGAATTGGGATGAACAACATTGAACAAGTTTCAAACCCTTAGAGTCTTCGATTCTTTGCAGCCTCCAATTCTCTGTAGAAAACAAAAGTCTTGTCTTCACCTCTGAAAGGACTCAAATACACGTACAACTTTCCGAGAGGATCATAAGTCTCACTCATGTCCTTTCCATTTCTAATTTCCAAAGGGATGAGGATTGTAGAATCTTCTCAATCCATTAATTCCTGCATTGGCATATAAAAAGTAAAATCCATAATAAAAGACAAAGAACATGCTGGCGGCCAACACAGCAGAAAGGATTAGAATTCCTCCAAAGTTTAAATACCAGAAGAATTGTCCTGTTCTGTGTTCCCATGGTTTCATATTCAATTTAAATCTCAAATTCAAAGGACTATGCAGAGTTTTGTAGGTTCCTGCAACATCATCAAAGAAACCGATATGAAGAGGAGTTTTCAATTGAAGATTTCGATGTTGTTGTTGTGGTTGAGAAAGACCAATTACCATGATGGACTTGGAGTTGAGGCGTTGTAAAAGTGTGTGATTATTGTTCTTCTTCAAAGATTGCCAGCCATTGGTGGACAATCGAGGACTAAGTTTGGACAACATGTTGTGAGAGTCAATAGTTGTTTTGTTTGATCAGGATTTATAAACGTTTGAAAATGAATCAATTTTTCAACAATTCTCAAATATGGAAATTGTATGAAATTGTTCATCACAATCTTTAAGGTCGTTTTTCAACCTTAAATCGAACAATGTTCACATTATAGACTATTTTGTTGCGTGTGATTGCATGGTATTACAAAATTGAG